AAAATGCACTCTCTTTTATATTTGACCTTCCAGTAAGGAGAAATGGGGTAAGGATTTTGTGTAATATACCAAAAGAAAAACTGTTTCCTCTATAACAAAGATTTCTACCAAGTTTTACTGATAAAAACAAAGAACAGTCTATTCACAATACTCTTTCAAGGGCTTCCTAAATCACATTTTAAAGTCTGAACAAAGGTTTGTTTTTAAGTGGTTCCTAAAAGGTAAAAATGAGACTCTTAGGTGGCAGAGCTTAACTACAACAGATTGGGTAACCTTTGCAGGTTGGAAGGCTTGAGGATTTAATTATTTTTTTAATGAGTAATTTTTCAGCAGAGGCTTCTTTTCACACCATTTCTAAATTAAATTAAAAATTTTTAAAAACATTTACCAAATTGAAACAGCACATAAAACTTTACCCAGCTTAAACTACTTTTGCTTCCTTAAAACAGGTTGTTAATTCATCAGACCTGGAGTTACTCTACAGAGACAGCACTGCACATGTGCAAGACGGGAACCCATATCTCCAGGACAACCCTGGAACAAAGAATCTTCAGTTTACAGAACTCAAACAATAGAAATGATGCCCCCAGAGCCCTCTCCAAAGCCAGAAGTCCTTCAGTGAGAAAATCCAGCTTCCAGCAGCTGGTTACCATACACTGGAGACAAGCTGATTAGCTTATTCCCCTAACACCTTAAATTTCTCCCTGAACCCTCCCTGAATGGGGGAGACAGATTTGAGCTCTGCTTCCTGTCTCTTTGCCAGTCAACCTTGATATACAGCTCTCTCTCTTCTCAGAATCCAGTGCCATAGTACTGGCTTCTATGTGCTTTAGGCAGAAAGCTCTTGCTTGATAACAAAAAGACTGGTAGCTAAGGCAAGACTACCATGGGAAATTACTGTTTAGGGAGAGAGATCTTTTGCATGAACCTCCTTTTTTTGGGAAAAAGGGTAAAAAAGTAACACCAACTTCTGTTAACACTGGAAGAAAGAAACAATAAAACCTCTTCTTTGGTTGGTTATTTTTGTCATTTTAATTAAGATTGAAACAGACTGCTACAACATTTGAGATTCCAGAGAATTGCATGCTTCTGCTATTAGAAAACCTTTGCTGAAGCACTTGAACTTTTACCTCTAAAAAAAAAGAATATGGAGGTTTCAAGCATTTTTGTCAACACACAGTCATTCATAACAACCTTCTAGATACTTATTTTGTACCTTTTCCTAAAAAAGGTTAACTCTCACTTACCAAAACCCCACCCACTACTGATGGATTCAAAGCTCCTGAGCTCAGAAGTGATCAAAACACACAGGTAAGTAGAAGTCCAAAGCTTGGTTTAAATGTTTGAAGAACAGCAACACCCAATAATACATACCAAATAGATGACCATCGTTTCTATGATGCAATGACTTGTCAACTAGAACCATCTGAGATTGAAAATTTCCATACTCAGTGTCTACTGGTGTCTAAAGCCTTCACTCTTAATGCTTATGGCATCACAGGTTCTAGAAATTACACACCATTCCACAGTAATCATCACTTTGAAAAACTATAATAGACATCTGCATGTTACACAAACATACAATTCTCTACATGAGCATTGTGTCACATGTCAACTCAGCCTCAAACAATAGAATACAAAAAGCCATACAGGACAAAACACCACTGAACTTTTGCATATTCCCTTTGCTCAGTTGTCAGCAGGTAGCACAGTTTTTTAAGAGAAAGAGATGAAAAATCAGAAATTTTGCATCCAGTGTTTGACCCCAACTTTTCACTTTCTTATCGTCTCCTGGTACCACCATATCCTAGAATGAGAAGAGTAAATTCTCATTAGTTTCTTTTTAATGTATTAGACTTGCTTATAAAATTACAAAAGTAATACATGTCTACTGTTAGCAAGTGAGTAAGAGATATGAGGGAAGGGGGTGAGGATGAGTGTGGACCAGCTGTGCAAGATGCAGTGCGTCGCCTCCCACAACAGCCCTTCCAATCATCCAATCATCGTCAAGTCCCCTAAACACACACATACTGTAACTTTAGTCAGGAAACCAAACATGGTACAGGCAATATCCAAAGTCTAAGCCAAAAAGCAGAGAGGCCAACAGAGCCTAAGCCAGGCCCTGCCACACACACACACACACACGTGTTCCTATCTGGAAATTCAATTTTTTTCCAGATTTTCTTATAAGTTATTTGGTAATGTCTTCTGATTTTCTTCATAAATCCCATATACTTCTAGCTGACATATATGGTTTCTTACAATTTTTGCATCCACTGAAAATGAGTTGTCCTTTGTCACATTATGTTCTATGTAGTTACATTTTTAGATATCCTCTCAATCATTACTGACCCTTTCACTCTCCAAAAGTAACCACTATCTTAACATCTAACGCCAGATTAGTTTTGCTTGTTTGTAAATATGCATATTTATGAAACATGAATGTTGCAATCATATTGAATATATTTTGTGCTTTGCTTCTTTCTGTACATTTGGAAATCTATCCACATTATTGCATACAACTATTTATTCATTCTCCTGTTGCACAGTATTCCACTATAGGAATATAACTCAGTTTATTCATCCATTTTACTGCTTTCTCCCAGTTGGAGGCTATTACGAATAAGGATGCTATGAACTATGAACATCCTAGTACTTAGCTTTCAGTGTACAAGCGTATGCATTTCTGCTGCTATATATCTGTGACACTGCTGGATCTTGGATACGCTTACGTTCAGTTTTACTAGGTGATGCCAAACAGTTTTTCAAAGGGATTGTACCAATTTATTCACACCAGCACTATGAGAATTTCACTCTTACATTTTAAAATACATTTAAATACATTTTCTCAATTTCAAGAATTATTCATTGTTCTGTAAACTTCCCTCTGATGAAGAAGACAAGTTTAATCCACAGTAATCTATTACTGCCTCATTATCCATTACCTTCCAGTCTTTGCTAAATAATTAGCTGGATGTTTACCTCCAAATAATTCTTTTTTATATTACATCTCTGTTCTTTTACAGAATTTCCTCTTAGCAATTGCAATAAACATATTTTTGACAATTATTTAAAGTGTGGTTGAATACATTTTTATTGAGTTTTACTAAACTAAGGAAAGTTCAACCTTCTACCTAAAAAATTTCCATTTTAGAGCTTAAAGGACTCCTAGAGATCACAGAATTAAATGTACATGGAAACCAATGTCCAGGAAGGTTTAAAACCTTGGTTAGTGGCAGAAGTGAGTTTAACCAAATTCCTGTTTGAGTTTTATAGCATAGAAGTGAGAGGAAAGAATGAATCTGAGTTATAATCTTAGTTAACTGGGCAACTAATATTTCTGATGGGCAGACCAAAGAAAACCATGATTGCTAAATATACAGTTACTCATCTTAAATTTCAAAGTATTTCTGTA